CGCTGTCCCTTACGCTCCCCTACCCAACCTCATCCAGTACGAAACGCCCAAGAAAAATGCTATCAACTGTTCATTCCCAATTTGTTGTCTGTCCCGTCATTTTATACCGTCCCCACTTGTTAAATGATGGCCTAATTTCCTGCCCCTAATTAACCTCAAATCCTTTGACTCTTCAAGACTGCCGCAAGCCTCTCGGGCAAGTTGACGGAGAAGACTTTGGTTGCTTTGCTTGAGGAGGGCAGCGGTGCTCCGGCACCACATCAGTATAGTCTCCCGCCTCCGAATGCGGTCGCTCGTGTCGGTGGCGATAGCAGCGGTTTTAGCTTCGACAGCAAACGCGATAACCATAAGCTCATCGTGTGGGCCGTTGGAAAGTTGAAAAAAATCTACATGGTATGCAGGCCCCTTGATAGGCTACTTACATCTCTTTTTTGAGTAGTTTCTATGAACTTTAATGTAGCCTCTTCAAAATTTGATTTGGATTCAACTCAATTATTACTTTGTTACCAATTCCTCCTTGACAATTGCTTAACTCCAGGACACCGGTCTGGCTGCACCAGTAGCGCTTGCTAGCATGATCAAAGCAAAGGTGGGCACTGCATCACGGGAGACTCCTGCATTGCCTTCATCATCGTCCCGTCAAAGAGGCGACTACACAGCCCTTCCTGAAATGTTCGAGCATTTGTCCACGTCTGTGGATGATTCCCCACGCCACTCTAGAAAATAAAATCATTCATTTTTGATTCCTTTCTGTTCTCTTGCTATTCTCTTTATCCTCTCTGTTCGTGTTTTTACTCCTTTTACTTGGTGTAAGCAGATTTTTTTGCCTGTGAGTTGTTTTTTGGTGTTGGCGTCGCAATAGATTGCTCTGCTCCTGCCTTTGTTTTGTTGAGTAAAGACTGTCAAGGTGACTGGTCACCAAATGTCATTCGTTTGACGACATGGCGGGTTCCAGTGACTGGTTGCTCGTGTCTTCGACTTTGAATGGTGGAGTGTAAGGTACACAAACTCAAAAGTGTTCGGCACACGATTGTGCCTGATGAAATCCCTTAGTAACCGACATGAATACTTTTGGTTGCGGTGGTGCTAAAGGTCCAGTTTTTGTTCTTCAACAAAACGGAATGGGCTTATACCCGACGTTATGAGTTTCTTGGATGTTCTTTGGGTCAACCGTGCAACTTCCATTACAGGCTTTTGGTTCATTCAGTTGTGGAAAGAATACATTGAAATATATTAATAGCTGCAGAAGTCGAATCTGGTTGTGAAGGGCAGCACTGCGATTCTTATTATCAAACTAACAGAGAAGTGATGAGTGGAGTGATATGCTTTAATGTTGCCCATATGGCCATCTGGTGTCTAGCAGTGACTTTAAGATGGCCTTCGGGCCATGCTCGGGCCTAGTCACTTTGTTCCCCTTCGAATACATGTAGTCATCTTCGCTTACTGCTTCTTTCACAGGATGAAAATTCCTGGAAATCTACATACGCTGCCCAATGTTGTCGTCGAATATATTTGATAAGGACAATGGATGTGACATTTCACCAAAAATGTTCGATACGGATTATTCAAAGAATAACAGCTGAGTTAAGAGCTTTTCACATAAGCTGAGGGACAGTGACTCAAATCATCCGGCTTAACGTCTCGACGGTGTGCAAAATCCGCTGTAGAGCTATGCCATCTTTTGTTCTCAATATAGAGCTTAAATAATTTCCAAGCATTTAGAATGAAATCTAAAATAGCACCTCTGTTCAACATACATTTTAGGGATACATAAAAGGCATGCATTAAAGCAAATCCCGAAATCTGAGTCTCAGTACAATTAGCTTATTCCTTTAAGTT